TGCGTATCCTCATTCTTGTTCTTCCTCTCTTGCTGGGCCTAGACAGGATATACTTCCCTTATTGTTCTTTTGCTATCTCTTTTTTTGTTTATTATAATTTTTTTTATTAAATAATAGCTGCATATCTTAATTTAGAGTATGAAATGTTTTTCTTGTTCTTTTTCTAATTCCTTTTGAATAAAAGCCAACATTATTCCTAATCCATCCTGGAGGCTAAGAGCTTAAAAGAATTCCTACTTTCTAACATAATCAGACCAATGGGCTGAAAAAAAAATGGGAATAATCTTGTTAAAGCTCCAAGATTCCTAGCAGGAAGAACTCCATAACAAATTTATTTTTAAGTATTCTAGATATCAAACTTAATATCAGCTCTTTTTCATTTTGTCAAAGCCCGCTTATGTTACATGGCAAGTACTCAAAGCTCTTCATCCTACTTTAAAGTAAGCAATCACAAAAAGGGGAGGGGGGAGGCCCCTACAAGATTAAAGTTTAGAGTTATATTGTTAACATTTACAAATGTAGATAAATGGTAAAAGCAAAATTAAAAGTACACAATTACCACTTACACAGAGACCTCTATAGATACCAAAGATAAGAAAGTTCGCAAGCTAATTAAAATCTAATGCTGATAGAAAAACTGTTCACCTCAGTATATTTCTTATTTGCTATGTGTAAAAAGAATCTCATTTTTTAAATATATTAACTACATATTTAGAAAAAAATATTTCTAAGAAGTTCCTTTTTTCTAAAGTATATCTTGCATTGCACCTCCTCAATACAACACTTGTGTGGAAGTCAACCTTTAAGAAGGTCCCCAAGGACTCCCACTTTTGGTAGTCACACTGTATAGTAAGTACTCTTCCACAATGTATCAGGGCAAAAGAGGATAGACTATCACTTTTAAGACTGGGTTATAATGGGCAGTGCCTGTAGCACAGTGGATACAAGGCCAGCCACATACACTGAGGCTGGTAGGTTCGAACCCAGCCCCAGCCAGCTAAAAACAACAATGACAACTGCAACAAAAAATAGCCAGATATTGTGGCAGGTGCCTGTAGTCCTAGCTACTTAGGAGGCTGAGGCAAGAGAATCGTTTAAGCCCAAGAGTGAAGTTTCTGTGAGCTGTGACACCACAGCACTCTATTGAGGGCAACATCGTGAGACTCTATTTAAAAAAAAAAAAAAAGACTGGGTAATAAAAGACTGTGGCTTCCTGCACAGGGTGAGGTGGCTCACACCTGTATTTCTTGTACTCTGGGAGGCCAAGACCAGTGGACTGCATGAGTTCATAGGTTCAAGACCAGCCTTAGCAAGAGTGAGAACCCTGTCTCTAAAAATACCCGGGAGTTGTGATGGGCACCTGTAGTCCCAGCTACTCCGGAGGCTGAGGCAAGAGGATCACTTGACTCCAGAAGTTTGAGGTTGCTGTGAGCTATGACTCCACAGCACTCTACCTAGGGGAACAAGAGTAAGACTCTGTCTCAAAAAAAGAGTGTGGATTCCAGCTTAGATGCTCATGCATGCTCTAACTCTTGCTCTTGAAACTCAGACATTCAGGCAACCCTGTGGAGAGGACCACATGTAAAGAATTTGAGACTTCCAGCCTATGAGTAAGCCTTCTTAGAAATGGACTCGCTAGACCCCATTGGGACTGAAGATGATGCATCCCCAGCTAAAAGCTTAATTTCAACTCTACTGAGGACTTAGAAATACTGAACTAGACAGCTCCAGGACTTCTGAGCCTCAGAAATTGTGAATTTATACATGCTTGTTTTAAGACACTTGTGCTTTAGGATAATTTGTTATACCATAAATAGATAAATGATACAATGAGCTTTGTCCATCTTTCAAAACCAAAATTTTTAAAAATCTTGGCTAACTAAAAGGTAACTGTAATGTCAGCTTCCAGTACTACTTGTAAAAACATGAACCAACTGTCGCAACCCGTTGGGCTCCTATGGCCTTGGGTCTCATTAGCGCAGGAAGACAACCAACAATGTACTATCAGCAGAATATGGCCTGTTTTGGGAAAAGAAAGATTAGATTGAGCAGGTAAATGGAAAGCACAACATCAGCTTCTTTAAAACTGGGAAGGAAATCAGTGCATAATTTAAAAACCACATGCCCTATTTAACTATGATAAAGGGCATTCCACAAAGTCCACTTTATCTGTTACAAACTGGTTCTAAAACTTTATCTCATCACAGACTATATCACATGCCTAATGATAGAAAGACATGTAAGAAAGATAAGGGCAAAAACACCAAATTTCAACAGTGGACTGCACTGCCATATCAAAGCATGGATGATTTTTCTTCATGAAGTTTTCATACCAAAGCCAAAACATTTCATTAGATCATACAAGTACCCTGTCCAAGGACACATATTATTACCTATAATAAGAAACAGCCCATTTAGCAGAAAATTACTTTCATTAAAAAGTATACTTAACACACACACATTTTGTACATTAGTTGTGTATGTGAAAATATTATTCAGAAAGCAACAATAAGCCAGGCATGGTTGTTCATGCCTGTAACCCTAGCACTTGGGAGACCAAGGTGGGTGGATTGCCTGAGCTCCCAGGTTCGAGACCAATCTGAGCCAGAGCAAGATTCATCTCTAAAAATAGCCAGGAGTTGTGGCAGGCGCCTGTTGTCCCAGCTATTTGGGAGATTGAGGCAAGAGAATCACTTGAGCCCAAGAGTTTGAGATTGCTGTGAGCTATGATGCCAGGGCTACAAAGACTTTGTACTGAGGACTACAAAGATTCTGTCTCAAAAAAAAAAAAAAAGGCAACAATAACATAAAAACGTGGGAGTTTTTCATTTGTCTGGGGGGGGGGAATGTTGATTTCAGTATGAAATATGCATTCCCCATACGCATTTCCTTTTAAGCTCAATGGTTAATGAATGAGGTAATATCCTAAGTGATGATTCTAGTTAATTCCACAAAACTGTACATACTGATATTGAAAACAATAAATGAACACCAGCACTTACTAAGAATTGAAGCAGCAGCATCTGTGCCATTTGATTCAAAGTGCAATAAGTTAGTCATCAACATGGTCAAAAATAGCTGATTTAATTTTTGACATTCTTTAACTTACAAACAGGAGAGATAAGCATTTGACTACCATTATTTCCTATATCCTTGCTTGTTTCCCCTGAATGAACAAGACAATTTAAATTACTAACTTCTCTATCCAGTAAGTTACATAATTAAGTTTGCTAATGATCTACAGTGACTAAAGTTTTTAGGTCCTTTCCAGAATATGTGAAAATATATTAAATTAAAAAATATTATCTTCACTGGAAAATGTGGCATTCCTACTGCTGGTGCATACAAAACCAACAATGTATGTGATAAATTTATCCGGTCATATTCAGGACATGCTTTTCAAGAACTGCTGTAAGACTATAGTCACAGGGCCCTCCAATCTTGTAACATATTGACAATGCACAATTTTCAAGAAATTACTTTAAAAAGGCAAAAATGTGTGTTCAAATAGTCTTGCCAATGGAAAAAGATTTGAAAACTAACGTTCTAGTTTATGACTGTCTATAATGTTTCCAAAGATGCACATTTTTAGAGTTGAGTATCGTAAAACCACATACTGAAGGCACACATAGATTACAACTGTTATTATTCTATTATAATTTCATACAACATGATTACATATTTAATAACTGAACTGACTATGATGCTACATTTTCCTGTAAAAGCATTGTGGGTAGACAATGTCTGGAATCAATCACTCAATACTATAAATTCGTCCACAATTCCCTGCACTGAGGGAAAAACTGGGTAAAAGGTCCCCACAAGTTTTTAAAGTAGTTCAGACAAGTCATGCTTACATGAGGCAGATAATACTTTTCTCCATTCCTGCACACAGGCCAAAGATACACTTTCAAGTACCTCTGGCCAATCAAATGCCATGTTCCAAATCAATGTGTTCTAAATGTAGGAATCTATGGGTGTTTATGTACCTACCAATTTGGGGGGGGTCAATAAACTTTTTTAAAACTTTCAAACACAACAGAATGTAATACAAGTTGAAGCAATGTATTTTGTTTATATAACAGAATTTAAATGGCAGAAATATTTTCAGTCGTTTGCTCCTTTCATCCGTTTGATTTTCTGAACTTTTAATCTTTCTACCTAGACTCAAATTCTGACCTACCACATTCTGCACTTGTCTTAAAAATAGGATTTTAATATGTTAGCTTAAAAATAGCTTTGTTTTCACCGTTCCAAACTACTTTTGAGAAGTATGCTCTTGATGGTAGAGCCACGGATTCAAAACAATTAATAACAATAATAATAATAATACCTTCTTATTTATTCCATTCTTCCAACCTCCGGAGAAACAAGAACTGGACTTTAACTTGAACCTGTTTTCTTTTCATTTTCCAGGAAAATGTTTCCTCCAGGTGCTTACATTAATACAACCAGAGATGTTTGGAAACAGCATCCCTGCCTTGGGAAGCTACACCCCTTCTTTTGGCCTCCCAACACCTTCGTTGGATAACCCTTAAAGAAAGTTTCTTCCTTCCTGCCTATCGGGTTGGCAGCACTTTCTCGGATCGGGCACAGCATGCCACCTGCAAGGGTGCACGCCGCCTGTTCGCAAGACAGCAGCAAGGGCTCGGGACAGGAGGGCGGGGGTCGGCGGCACGCGGCCAATGAAAAGAAAATCCTAATTGGCATTTTTAAGCTGAAGCTCCGGATTCTGAGGCTGGGGACCAACCAGCCAAGGCGCTGACCCCAGCTGCGCGGCACCATCCGCGCCTGTCCTACCTGCCTCGGAGACACTCCGGAGGCAGAAAGTCCCCCCAGTCCGCAGTCGTCCCAAGCGCGGGGCCAGGCGGGCAAGGGAGGGGGGCGGGTGGGGCAGCAGAGGGGGGTCCGAGGCCGAGGGTCGGGGAGGGCTCCCGTGCGCTGGCGGCGAGGGGGGGGGGCCGCCGGGGCCCCCGGGCTTGCCCCACCCGTCCCCGTACCTTGGGCGATGGCAATAGACTCGAAGCGGTGCAGCTCCTTGAGCAGGCAGCTCCTTTCGGTGGAGTGCAGGCTGTAGATGAAATCGCGCGCGCCCTGCGCCGTGTTTAGCGCCTCCATGGGCTCCTTCTTGGGGTGGGTGCCCAGCAGCCGGGGCCCGGCGGGGGCCGCGAGCGCCAGCAGCCCCCGCCCGCAGCAGCACCAGGACAGCGGGTGGGGCGAGGCGGCCGGGCCCGACCGCAGGCTGCGCGCGGTCCGGCCCCTCAGCAGCGGCAGCAGGCGGGACATGGCGAGCTGAAGAGCGGTGACCCCGCGGCAGTCTGGGCGGGCGACTTCTGGCGAGGCTGAGCAGAGAAGGAGCTGGGCTCAGCCCGACCCCGCCCCGAGGTCCTCCCGACCCGCAGCCGAGGCGCCGAGCACCATGCACTCCGCGGGCCCGCGCGCTGTCACCTCCTCTTCCGTTCCCCTTTCCTTTCCAAAGACCCGCGACGGTTCCAGAGCCTCCGACGAGGAAAACTTTCTCTGAGCCGGCCGGGCCCCGAGAGCTGCAGGGGAGGGCGGGCGGGTGGTGCGGGCGGGCGGGCGCCTCCCGGCTGAGGAGGAGCGGCGCGGTCGGGCGGGATCAGCGAGCGTCTGTGTCTGTCAGTCTGCTGTTCCAGAGGGATGAGTCAGCCAAGCGCCGCCCTCCTCCGGCGCCGCCCTCTTCTCCCGCCGGCTTTCTCACCCTCGTGCCTCCCCACGTCTCCACTCCGTAGGGTTCCAGAGCTCTCAAAGCCGTCGCGCTCTCGGCCACAGCCGCCGCCGCTACCCCTAGCGGCAGTGGAAGGGGTAGGGAGGCGGGGCGTGAGCAGGCCTGCGCAGGCGCAGTCCTCAGGGGGCGGGGCGCGGCACACGCGTCCCCACCCCCACTGGAGCGTGAAGGTGGAGGAAGAGGGGTACTTACCTGATATGTTGGCCTCCGCAGCCGCTAACTCCACGCTTGGGGTAGGGAGAAAGCTTTGGAACCCGGGCTCGGCCGCATAGAGCACCTGCCCCTCGGACCACACCTGGAGCTCGTTCTGTAAGGTGTCCAGGTGCGGCCCCGCTTGCCTGGCTTTGAACTGGCGCTGAGCTGCTCTGTCGCCCAAAGCTTATGGGGTCTCGACGCTCGGCTCAAGAATGAAGCGCCCGGGCTGTGCCCCTTGCTGGGTCAGCGCCAGCGGCGGCCTCGGCCAGACGTCCAGCTCTGAGGCTCCCGGGAGAAGGTGAAGCCAGTTTTACTCCTCCCCAGGAAGGAGTGCCTGAGACTGACACTTTGACACGGAAAACCGTCCTCCCGTTTCTGATGCCAGCGAGGATGAAAATTGTTAATGCTAGAGCTGGAGACAGAAGTGTCACAGACTTCTCTGGGTGGTTGCTTGTGATCCCCCCCAAAGTCAAAGAGGAAAGAATTCTGCCATTCTCCGTGACTTCCACGTGTCCAGATCCTAAGCATCTTTCAAGGCCCAGGTCAAAGGGGCCCCTGCTTCATTAAGCTTTCCCTGATCTCTTTCTAAGGGAGCTCTCCGCTTTACTTCAACCTGTTTAATGACACTTAGTCACTCTGTCTTAGAGAACAAATCCACTTAGAGAATAAATCTGCTCAAGTGTAGTCAAGATCTAAATCCCATCCTTATCCACTGCTACAGCCAGCCAGAACTTTGTAGTAAATGTGTTGTATGTCAGTATGATATGTAACTGTGAGTAAAGGGAATGTTACCACTAAAACCTATTTCTCTAACTCTGGTTCTCAAAGTGTGTCGCCCAGCTTGTTAGACACGGGAAATTGTGGACCTCACCCCCAAACCTGAATCAGAACCCGGGCTTGGACGCAATTATCTGGGTTTTAACAAACCCTCCAGGTAACAATGATACATAAAGAAAATTGAGAATCACTGCTGTAATTTAAACAATGCTGGGTTTGTTTTTGTTGTTGTTATTGTTTGTTTTTTGTTGATTCAGGGCAATGCCTCTATGGTGTAATGGCAATTAAGAATGCTCTTTGTTTATATAACATAATGTTAAGGTTAAATTGTAGAAAACAAAAAAAGTTATGTATTAAATGCTATGTTTTGAATGAATCCCCCAAAATGTATATGCTAAAAGTTAATCACTGGTGTGAAAATATTCAGAGGTAGGGCCTCTGGGGAGGGAGTAAATTGTGAGGATAGAACCCTCACAAATAGGATAACACCTTTATAAAAGTCCAAGGGAGCGGCCTCCCTTTACCCTTCCATCTCATCTACCATGTGAGGACACAGCATACTAGGCACCATCTTAGAAGCAGAGACCGGGGCCCTCACTGGACACCAAATCTTCCAGTGGTTTGATCGTAGACTTCCCAGCCTCTAGAACAAGAGAAATAAATTCCAAATATTTATAATTTTAAAAAATAATAATGCTGTTTATGGACAATGAAAGCTTTGTGAGTGCAGACGCTTTATCTCTCTTGCCTCCTAGTGAGCCCTGGGAAGCCTCTGCAGGGTTAGTTCAGCCTGTTTCTTGGGATTACCACCCCACCTGCCCACAAGATCCCTTCCTCTAAGAGGGATTCTGATTCACTGGGCCTGGGGTGGTGCCTAGGAAGTGAAGTTTGAAAAAGCTCTTCAGTAAAAACCTCTTCCCAATAGCCTCTAAGATAGTAGCCTGTGGACTCCAGAGACAGATTGCTGAAAACTTAGTCCCTGGATCAACTGTTTAGTTGTTAGTGATAGATTGTTACAGTAGTGATCCAAAATGGATTACACCCTCTGTAACAATAAGAAACAAATGTAGAAACAAGTAGCTTATGAGACATGTTACAAGTAGAATAAATGAATATGGGTTGAACATAGATTTAAAAAGATGGAACAGGGCCAGACACAGTGGCTCTCACCTGTAATCCTAACACCTTGGGAGGTGGAAGCCCATGGATTGCCTGAACTCAGGAGTTCAAGACCAGCCTGAGCAAGAGTGAGACTCCGTCTCTACTAAAAATAGCCAGGAATTGTGGCAGGTGCCTGTAGTTACTCTGGAGGCTGAGGAAAGAGGATTGCTTGACCCCAAGAGTTAGAGGTTGCTGTGAGCTATGATGCCACAGTACTCAACCCAGGGCAACAGAGTGAAACTCTGTCTCAAAGAAAAAGAAAAGATGAAACAGAGTGGAGAGGGATAAGACATATGAACGTTGCATAAAACAGAATTTAGACATTATGGTCCTTGAGCCATTAAATAACTTTAATCCTAAAGTTATTACCCTATCTCTTCCCCCTTCTGTTTTATGTTGGTTGGTAAACCGTTGAGGTGACTATTGCTGCTCTTTCTGTGACCATGTGATCTCGAAACTCAGTGGTTTAAATAGCCAGTTTATTTTGCTCCTGAGTTTGTGGCTCAGAAATTTGGGAAGGACATGCTCAGGCAATTCTTTTCACGAATCTCTTAGGCCAGTGGTTCTCAACCTTCCTAATGCCGTGACCCCTTAATGCAGTTCCTCATGTTGTGGTGACCCCCAACCATAAAATTATTTTCATTGCTACTTCATAAGTGTAATTTTGCTACTGGTATGAATCATAATGTAAATATCTAATATACAGGATGATCTTAGATGACCCCTGTGAAAGGGTCATTCGACCCCCAAAGGGGTTGCGACCCACAGGTTGAGAACCACTATCTTAGGCAGTGGCAATCAGATGTCAGTGCTGGTACTGTCATTTGAAGGTTCAGCTGGGCTGGACATCCAAGGTAGCTCACTGGCATGGTTGAAAGTTGATGCTGTCAGCTGGCTGGCTGGAAACTCCAATGGGGCTGTGAACCAGAACACCTTCACACAGGCACTCTAGCCTGGTGAACTTCTCACCTGTAGCTGGTTTCTCCAAAGTGAATGTCTGAAAAGAACTCATCTCATGGCCTTTTCTACCTATCCTTGGAGGTCACTCAGCATCACTTCCACTATATTTTATTGGGCATAATGAACAACTAATCTGGATTGAACCAATCCAGATTCAAGGAAGGGGATATAAGCCCCAACTCTCAATGGGAGTAATGACAAAGAACTTGAGGATGTGTTTTAAAAGTGCTATATAAACAATGTGATACAGGCTTATTAATTTGGTCTATAAGACCAAATTTTTGTGACTTAAGAAACAACCTTTCCAGTAGTATGCTTGGAGGCTACCATTGCATTAAGGTAATATTCTACATGACATTTGCTGTCTTGGAATCCAGATGGTACATGAAGGAGTCTGAGATATCCTGCTGGAAAGACCAAACGCAGGAGGAGGCCTCAGCTAACAACTGCCTGCTAACTCACATGCATGAGGCCATCTTGGACCACCCAGCCCCAGTCAAGCCCCAGATAACAGCATTGCAAAGTGATTGAAAGCATTAGCTCTAGACCTACACTCCCTGAATTTCAGTCCATATGCTACCATTTATTAGCTATATAGCCTTGGACTAACAAATCAACCTTTCTATGGTTGTTCATCTGTTTGATGGGAATGAGGACTCAGTTTGCCTGTCTGTGAAATGGAGACGAGGGCATCTGCTTTATACAGTTATAGTGAAACCAAATAAATTAGCACACAGAAAGCATTTAAAAGAGTACCTGAAACACAACTACTCAATAAATATTAACTGTTACTTATCTAAATCCCCATGGACCTCTCAAGCACCTAGGATTATGTCTTTGGACTTCATTTGGAAAATACCCTCTGGCTGTCTTTTAATACATAGGTATATATCAATCAGATGCCCTATCCACTTCCTTCTCTGAACACCTGACTATCCCAAATATGAATAAATGGAAGAGAGGAGGAGGAGGAGGATTTGGAGTCTGTTTGTGGCACTGTAGAAAAGTGAAGGATAAGGCCAGTCTTGATGTAGGTGGCAAAGGGGAGGATTTGAGGAAATATGAAGAGTGCTGAAGAGGTGGCACTAGCAGGCTGGAGAGGGTTACAAAATGGAAGATTGGCATGGAGGGCCCAGAGGCAAATTTGGTCTGGGCTCATCCCAGTCTGCTTTTCACTTTTAAGATGACAAACATCGTGCCTCAGTTAATAATCACAGTTCTCCGCCTCATGAAAAATTGCTGCTGATGCATCAGTCCACGGTTAGCTGCATCATAGAACCACTCTCCAGATTCCTGGCATTTCTGCTGCTGGCAGGGCACAAAGTTGCTTGCACCTACGATTTATGATATGTTATGCACCCAGCTACTGCCTTCCACTTTAAAATTCTTGAAAATGTTGCATTACTTAGTAGAACGTTTAATCATGTCTTCTGCCCACACTTTTTGCAATTTAGTTGTGCTTTTCATCTATCACGTTGCTTGACTTTATTCTTGTTTTGTTTGTTTTGTTTTGTCTTGTTTTGAGATAGGGTTTCACTTTGTCACTCTCGGTAGAGTGCTATGGCATCATAGCTCACCACAACCTCAAGCTCTTGAGCTCAAGCAATCCTCTTGCCTCAGCCTCCCAAGTAGCTGGGACTACAGGCACCCACTACAATGCCTGCCTATTTTTA